GAAAGAGGCCGGCCCCACACAGCGGGAGCAAGCCGGGAGAAAGTGGCGAGGGGTGTCCCCACTCCGTGCCTGCCGAGGGTGAGGGAGCACCTTTCGGTCATGTGGGTCCCCTCAGCCTCACTACCTGGGACGGGCGCGTGGCAATGATGGCTTCCCATCTGTGACGCGTTTAAGGAGGAACAAAGGGGCTCCTGGCCACAAGTTTGGGGATTCCCTACTGCAAAGGAAGGACGCTGAAAATATACAATATAAGATCATGTTCTCTCAAGGACAGAATAGCAGCAATAATAACCTTCCCTGGAATGATGATGCCTGGCAAATACCACAGGCACTTACTAAATGTCTGTTGGATGATAAGAATGGGGTGAAAATCAGTTAACATGAAGATCACGTCGTAAGAATAACGAGGGGAGAAAGACGTTGTGAAGGTGCCCAGGCCTTATTCTGGTGACACAAAAACCAGAGGCACGCGCACACACGCGCTCCAGCGGGACCCAGCCAGGAAGCAGCTCACCGTGATCTACAATAAGAAGGGAGCCACACACTATGCAAATACGGCGAAGAAAGGAGTCAAAACTGTCGCAAAGGTTCAGTTGCTCACTACCCAAGAACGTCTACTTATCCTGGCTTAGTCATTAACAAAGCACGAAAAGTATCCTTCTTGGAGGCCACAGACTACAGAACATAAGGTGCCTGAAAAAAGGCTTCAGATGGCTGCACATGTGTACAATTCAGTTAATTACTAATTCAGAAAGCAGCAAGAGTGCTGGCAGCGTGAAGGACCTCAACGCTAATGAGAAAGCCGGACAGACTTAAAATTATTAAAGGACTGGGCTCAGCAAATGTTTTCATATGATGTGGAACAGAATTTTTCATCTACTTGGACCTAAACAAAGGACCTTTCTGTAGTGCTGGAGTTCAGGGAGACAGATGTTTAGCTAAGTTACGGAAAGTTTAGCAAAAAGATAAAGAACATCTTATTATAGGACAAAATTCTAGAGCAATCTGAAAAATTCATAAGCAATAAAAATAGCAGCAATGTTTTCCCTTTTACTACAGCATTTGCTAGGTGGTATCTCCTCCTTTGTATTACCGCTACTATTTTTTTAAAAACCCTAAAATCAGTTATCTTCTTTGAAACAAAATTCTTACCAAATAAATAAAAATTCAGTATTTCCATGATACCTCTAAAAAGTGATTGTTGGAAAGCTAATTGACATTAAACTTTTATGGAGCTAATAAATGTCGAGTTACAGACTCTCAAGAGAGCTGGCCCAGGAGTTGTGCCCACTGAAGTACAAAGAGAAGCTCAGTTAAGACGGCCACGGTTTCTACAAGGGACAAAGAAAGAGCAAAAAGCAATTTCTTTGGACGACATGACCTTCTGAATGGCCTCACGTGTCCTGAGAACGGCACCAATACTGATGAAATGGGAACCAGAGGGAGGAAAAAGGCAAAAAACATATACACGAAATATTCACAATACCAAGTGACACATCGATTAGTGTGACATAATGTCACACTAATGTGATACAACGTAGGAAAAACATTAGGAAAATACAGGAAAGAAGTAAGAGTTAGGTGGGATTTGCCAAGGAGCGCTTTTTGGATGAATTTTTTGTTTTTGTTAGGTTTTCAAAGAAGCGGTAGTCATCACTTGACTGAAAAGAAAGTTTAGAAAGTATTCCAGAGGCTCTTCTTGAACAAAAGGTTAAAGCTTTCTAAGTCCGTATTCTCAAAAGTTCTAATAATTTTCAGTTTTCTGTTTCAACAAGCATAGTAACCACCAAGAGTAAGGTTTTTGCCTTTCTTTGGGTCTGAAACTAAAGATTACACTTAAAACGATACGTAGGCAAGTACTTGAAAAGCAGGGCCAAGGTTCTGATTTCAGGACTAGTGAAGGAATCAAACTCTCGCTTGTTTCAAGTACAATTTCTAAAATTCACTGTTCTTTTCTTTCTGAAACATCGTAAGTAAGAGTCTTCTGAAGAACCTAGTCGACATTCTACTTTTCAAAGGAAAGGCCAAGCCCTTCAGAGCTGTCTTCTCTCTCCCAGGCAGCTAATGGAGACCAGTTACAGAAAATAACTCCTTTCTGCCTATTTACAACCTAAGAGGAGACGTCAGTAGGAGAAGCAGGGGCTCACTTAAGGGGCCAGAGGTGGGAAATCCAGGCAGAAACGACATAATCAGAAATCTTGGTTTCTCATTTATCCCGTTCAGTGCCGGCAGCAACTTGGGTGTGCGTGGGAGGACCCCTGAAGAGACTGCGTTTTTCCTTTGACCAGCATGTTTGGGGGCTGTACTGCACGGCTTGAGAAAATAAGCTTAAGACCCCATGAAGAGCTAGTTTCACCACATTCCCAAAAAACTCTGAGTCCAGAAAAGAAACATAAAATTAAAGAG